TATATATATCATATGTATATACGAGTAAATGTATGTAAATAAATATTTAATAAAAAATTAAAGGAAAGTGAAAAGTATGAAAGGAAAATAACCATAATGAAAGCGCAATATAATTGAAAACAGAAGATAGATTTCAAAGAAATATGAAATACTTTGACAGCGAATGCACAGCTGCTACATGGCGATAAACAGCAGTGGAAGCAGAAGATTTTAAGGAAATTATTATATAAAAAAATTTTATACATACATAATATTTTATTGAATAAATATTATTAGCAATTACTGCACAGTTTTCTCCATTATCACTTATATAAAAAAGTAAATTAATTAATTATTAATGTACAAATTTTTATGCTAATATTAAATATTTAAAGTTGTTGGCATAAACTCGAATATTTGTTTGTGGAAAAACCACAAATTTCATGAAACGCTATCAAGAAGCCAAGCCTCTGCATTTTTTCACGTTTCCTCTTTGAAGATAAGCACTTAATGCCTCGTGTCTCTCCCAAACTGCCAACTTAATTATTTGCTGTCGACGACTTTCTTCTTTGCAACGAATTTCTCCAGCTACCGCTTGACTTGAAAGCGAACGCTCGATGGCTTGCTGTGTGCCTTTGGCATACAACTTTTCATACATAATTTTTTTCAATATATTTTTTATATTTTTTTTCGGTATGAGGAATTTGTTTGTTGAATTTCTTTGCATGGAAGAAGGTAAGGAAATATCGAGGAAAATATATGTTAGTATATGTGTCTTTGTAGTTATATACTATATAAACATAGTTACATAGAGTATTATATAGATATATGTATATGTGTGGATATGCATGGTTCTTTAAGAGGCATATTTGGTATGTAGATAAAATAAAAAGTAAGAACAAGCAAAAGCAACATGTATTGAAATGCGCAAATAAGCGAAAAATTGCTAACCAAATATGACAGGACATAACTTCTGCGAGTTTCCCCGTAGCTTGCTCTTTAATATATTACGCAGCGCTCTCTGGAATTGTTGCTTACGTAATTGGAAACTTTATGCTATACTATTCATACACTTTAAGAATTCTGGAATTTTCAAAAATATGGAAGAAAAAAGAATATTATAAAAAACGGATTTTTTGTATCATACAGTTTTTGAAAAAATCAGCCGGTTTTTTGTTAAGAAAATGTTAACATCAAGCAATACAAAATATGTATTAAAATCTGTTTTTAGTAACTTAGACGAAAGTAAGAATCCATCTCATGATTGAAGTCAAAAAGTCTGATATTTTTAAGTCTTTTGGAAACTCGTAAAATTACAAATACACTTTTTTCAAACATTTATAATATCGTTTACATATGTCCAAACGTATTTACATAAAGTACATAAAATAAAAAATTTCATAAGCTTTTGAATTATACTGAAAAGCAAGAAAAAAAAGTTTAGAAAATGTGCAGTGAATCTTGGAATTTTCTATATGAATTTAAACGATGTAATTCTGAAACCAATAATACGGCTTTTCCACGGCATCGTGAAATACATTATTCGTCCTCTCAATTACGAATGCGAATTACCCCACGACAGTTCTGACAGTTTTCGGTTTCGCTTGTTTGTTGCATTAGAAAACGCATAGAAAATTAAAGATATTAGTAAAAGTTAATAAAATCTTCAATTTAATTGGTAATTTAATGCCACATTTTTTTAATAATTTTTCATTCATTAATTTTTCATGTATCATTTCATAAAATTTTCAAGTATAACCCTTGTCAGCCAACTTCTCAAGCTCTTCATACTCACACCTTTCGGCCACCTTCTTACTTCTCAGTATCTAACCCACCCCGCAAGTGTTGTGGTTAATCGCTAGATATCGAGGCAGCATCTATTAAAATATATAGCTCCCTTAGGATTAGTTTTTCTGATTTGAGGTTTTAGTTCAATTTCGCCGAGAAAACATCTAAAAGTATGACACTTTGTGCTCAACATTCACATCACAAAAAAAAAAAAAAAAAAAAAATATGCGACTTGCTATTAGTTTGAAGTTACTCCGAAGGGGTAGTTAAGCTATCCTTAAGATAAAAGTATTGCGGAGTTCTCATTTCAGAAAAAACCTTTATGGAGAATGTGATTTTTATTAAGAAGCATGTCCATAATCGATTTCGTCAAAAGTAGCCCTGCGCTTAACTGCATTCTTCTTTCCTCGGCGCTTGTGTCCAGAAATTCACCTCATAGACCCAGTTGGTGCTCTGCTGCTTGGCACATTATCATATTTTTCCAAAATTCCAGTTAAGGCTCTGAAGTGTAGTTACCTTGATAGCATTTTAAGAAATGCAGAAAATAACATCCAATCCAAGGTTCAAAAATCCCATTTAAGGTTCTTCGGTTGAATAAACTTTGTCATATCTGTGATTAATGTTGTTAGTGTTCAGTTCCTGGTAACTCCGAGGCCTTTACGCTCATAAAGTTGGATTTGGTTGTATTTAGTGCTGAGCTTTCTTTTGCAATACGGACTAGTCCCAGTTTGCTTGAATTATCTATGCGATACGATCTATAGTATTTAAAAAAGTAAAATGTATTTAGCAATGATCTTTACGAGGTTGAAGATTCCAGATGAACCTTCTTGATCTGCAATTAGATTTTGGTTTTCTTATACAACAGGAATACCTTGTTACCGTAATTTCATTGAGAGTTAATGGAAGATTTGCTATGTGCCAGTTAAGTTGATATTAATCTTAAATTGCGACAAGTCTCATGACTTGTGATTGCAATAACAGTACTCGGCTGCAAGTCTAGGTACTCCCGCCAAGGTTTCTTATCCCTTGCCAAAGTCATTGCTTTTTATACGCTTTATAGTGTCACCGAAAACCTCGCTGTTATGCTCTTACTTTTTTTCTGTGATTTTTCGCACACTCTTGAAAGTGTGCCCATAACCTTGTTAATTACGTGTTGCCTTGTAACGTAGAAATATTCTGCAAGGCACGTCATGAATGGATGGCGTTGCGCATTCAACGACATCTGCAATCCCTGCTCAATGCCAATACGTGACCAACTCGCCTCTCAGATAATTAAAACATGCAGAGCCAGCCACATGCATACTCGTACATGCAGATTGGTCAGTTGGTCGCTGGGTCATTTATGGAACGAACACAGCCTTATACGAATGGCTTATGACGCATACTTCATTTTGGCTTTTCTGTTTGCCAAATTACTCCATTTACTTTTTGTGCGCGCATTCATGCATTTTACAAACAGATCACGCTGCTGTGACAGAAGAGCATAAATCTGGGTAGGAAAGGTATGCCCCATGCTGGCGTCAGCAATTTCAATTGAAGCTGAAGCAATGATGTTGTACCTTAATACGCACATTTTTATTTTTATTTTTCTTTATTCCATTCCTTACTTCCGTCCAGCAATAATGTTTTCTGTGTAAAAAGCCTCCTTCATTGCTTGCGCTTCAACTGTCAGCCTCATTGGCTTAAATTCACATTGATGAAAATGCTTATGCGTGAATTTTATGCACGAATGTGTTTGGGTCAACGCTCTGCCAGTAAGGCTCAGGAGCAAAGCCGAAAGCAAACAGTCAACGGCAGAGAAGTCACGCGGTCATCTTTTCAGCGAATATCCTGTCAACATCTATTAGTTCCAATTTATTACACTCAACTGTAGGTTCAGTTATGCCTTTGCTCAGCGAATCTGTGGGCGACACCTTGCTTTTGTTGCTACTGCTGGTGTTGTTGTTTTCAGTATGTTCTTAAAGCTGGTCCCTCTCGCCATAAGCAATTTGCTTGATTAAGCGTCAGCGCGTTAAAAGACTTAACAGTTCTCAAACAGAATGTCTGTCAGCTTTTTATTTTTTTGTTAGTGCAAATGCGATGAATTTCATTGCGTGCTGATAAATCTCACGCATTGAAGAGAGATTACATATACTCTTAACTTACCTCTCCTTTCATAGGAATACGCGAAGTGCCCATATAGAGATGGGTATACGAGTATATATACTTACTGGTGAGTGCCATACACATTTCATTGATATAATTGAAAAAATTTCAGATTAATCAACGTGGGGTATAAAAAGTTCAGTGAATTGACAAAGGTAAAACAGAAATTGGTTAAGCTTACTTTAATATAAAATTCAGTCAATAGCGCGAAGATAGTAACATTTATAAAATCAAATAAAATAAAATAAAATAAAATAAAATAAAATAAAATAAAATAAAATAAAATAAAATAAAATAAAATAAAATAAAATAAAATAAAATAAAGTACGACTTTTGCGGTGATTTGGCAGCCATCAGTATTCGCAGGCACTAAACAACATATTCGTAGCAGAAATGCTCTTAAAGTAGTTGATATTCCCTGCAGGGGTAAGATCACAATTAGAAGTTTTTAATTAGAAATTATTTTTCTAAAATGTTGAATGGTTGTGGGACCGGCCTTGTACCTAACTACCGCTCACTGCTAACATTGTATGGCTACCGCGAACATTCCAATTATGTTCGTATATTAAATTTGTAGGATTTCCTAATCAATTCTGCGCCATTAAGCAATGTCTGCTTCGGAAAATCCCAATAATTAGCAAGCTAGTCTAGAGAAAACTGGCAACTTTCCAGTAAAATTTTAAGTGCTTGCAAAGTGTGTAAAAGCATATGTATTAAAATTAAGTAAGCGCATAAATCAAATGTACGTATGGTATGATGAAAACCGCAAAATTAGATGGCTGAGATTTAAAAAGCGACACCTCTGAAGTATGTTTTTGTGTCTAAACGACTGAGAGCTCCCGTCTATTTAGTGGAAAGTTTTAAAATACATATGTTGATGTGCAAACCGGCTTTATGTACATTGGTGTAGGTGTGAAAGCTTTTGCCAACACAGCTGTAAACAAGCTCTTAACAGCTATAAAATCAGAAAGTTGTACAAAAGGGACAGACAAATTATGCTGAAATGACATAAAGTGGCAATTTGCCGCAAGCGTCACCAGTAGCCATATATTTAACTTATTTATAATGAAATCTCTTAAGCCACGGAATGAGGTTTAATTTCCATTTTATTTACAATTAAGTGTAAAGTCCAGTTTTGGCATGCAAACAAAATTGCCGAAATTGGTTTAACACCACGCCACCACTTAACTCAATATCTTGCACACACACACACACACACAGACAGACATATATACAATAAAAAAAAGTTCACTGTTAGCAACGATTTCGGCTTATCGTTTGACAATGAAAACAATCTGAACTGTTGAAAACTCAATCAAAATCTGTGCCAAACTAACGCCAATATTGTGTTCGTCCAGAGTTGCCAGCGGCTTTATGTAAGTATGTACATACTCCTATATATGGATTTATATACATAAATATATATATAAATATATATATATGTGTGTGAATATTAAACAAACAAATAAAGACAAACAATTGGAAGACAAATCCGCCAGCCTTTAGGCTTATACATATACAAACAAGCACAACTCTGCACATTTTCACCTTTCACTTGAAGTCATCAACGTCGTCCTGCGTCAGCATCATCAAATTGTACTTAGCAACTCACCGTCGCGTTGTCTTTCGTCTCAATTTGGCTTGCTACTTAAGCCATTCATATTAATTTTGCAGGTAACTAAGAAACGGCTTAGGCTTAAGAGATCTTGGTGCTTGCGGCGGTGCTTGTGGCCAAATATTTGGTCCGTTTGTTGAAAGGGTGTTTCTGCGTTGATAAAGTTTTCTGTTTGCGTCCTTGAATTTACAAATATTTGTTGAGTAGCAATATGGATCAAATAGGCGCGCATTTATACCTGAATATATATTTAAGTACAGCCAAAAGGCAGCTAAACGTATATTTGCGCTATTTTACAAACATATGGATATATAATATATATATAATAAAATACAATATGTTTATTATCAGCAGCAATTTATAGCGCAGTCTTTTCAGTTTCCTAGAGATGCGTCATTAAGCTCAATCTATACCCGCTAAGCTTGATTAGGCATCCAATTTGACCAAGCAAAAAAAGTAAATAGAAATTTTTTGCTGACTTGCTTAAAAAAATTGGATTTATTGTTTGTTTTTATGTATAATACTGTCATTCATCAATCACCTAGGTAACGTATACGCTGAAATAGAAATTTTTTGCTGACTTGCTTAAAAAAATTGGATTTATTGTTTGTTTTTATGTATAATACTGTCATTCATCAATCACCTAGGTAACGTATACGCTGTGACGTGCCAGGTGAAAACAAATTTTTGCTTCATAAATAAATAAATTTAAATACTCACATATGTACATTTGTTACTAGGGTTGTTTACTTTCTGAGTTGATTGAAAATTTTGTTAGCTTCGGTTAAGTGAAGTTTTTGCAGAATATTGAGTTTCTTTAGAACATATTAATATTTATGTATTTAGCTTCGCTTTACTCTTTGAAATGAAGTAAACTAAATATGGGAAAATAAAAAATATGATAAAGGAAATGAATGAGGTAACTTACTTGTATTAGAGGATCTTTCAACAAGAAATGGAAAACATTAAATTTATATATGTACGTTCATGTCAGTTAATATAAAAATGCAAAATTATTGTTGTTTGTTTCTTCCCTGCTTCTTTTGTAAAATTCTCCGTCATCAATTTCAACAGAAAAAATTGGAAACCGAGAGAAATATATGAACATATATGCACAAACTCATTTCATTTTGCTCAGCGAATGGTTTTTGCTTCAAATTTAGTTCTCTCAACTGTACATCATAAACATGTAAACTGAAGAGAGTTTTCTATATCTTGTACTCTTTACCGAAATGCCAGTGATTTGAATAATTTATCAACAAATTTTACACAAATATACCTAACTTACTACTAACTTTTGTTGTATTCTCCATAATCCATGTTTCGGGAAGAAAGCATTCTGTATGTTTGGCCTGGTTCAATTTCGGGAGCAAAAGTCCAGTGAAATAGATTAACTATAACAAATATGTAACAGTATATATTGTATATATATATATTTTTTTTGAATACATCGGCATTTGCCCTACTCCATACAAAGGAAATATTTGAAGTCAATGGAAAATTTTTTTCTTCAAGTTCTTTACAAACCTTCCGGGAACCATTTTATGTATAAGCTGACAATTCTTCAGCATAATAATTTAGCATAATCAACTGAATAGTTTTAAAGATCTTAAAACATAGTGTTTATTATATATATATTCAAAGGCATGTATTTTTCTTAAACACCATGTGGAAATGTAACGTGGTCAATAATTACTGTCAAGTTATGATTGCATGAGTTAAACTATGAAATAATAAAATATGCGCGAAAACGCCTTTACATGAAACTGTGGCAATATAACTGATACGCAATTCTTATTCCATGAATCTCAAACTCCTAAGTTAGCTCGTTTCATTGTAAGAGCCAAATAAAATTTTTCATCATTCCTTGATTCCACTTTGGCTGAAAGTGACGCTTCAGCACTTCTAAAGTCTTGTGCTTCACTTATAGCCCACAAATTATCGGGAAATCAAAATAGTTGAACTTTCATCGAATATATTGAATTTCATAATTTCTTGATAACTTTCAGCCTTCAAAGTTTCTAAGCTTTCAAACAACTTCCAATTCCACTCAATGCTCCTTTGTATCTTGAATCAATATTTTTATGTTCGGACAAAATCTCCGTACTTTACTTTAGAGTCTGAGATAAATAAATTGAGGCCGTAAGAGGTAGAATGTAGTGAGTCGACCGAAAAGGGATAACAAAAACATTTATTTTCGAAAATTTGATAATCAAATATGTTCAGTGCTGTGAGTTTCAGATCTCAACCTTTTTTTCATTACTAAATAAAATCAAAAATTGCAAAAATCAAAAAAAAAAAATCAAATTATTTCTCACCATCTTGTAAATCGATTGATGTATTCTAAGCGACAGTAATGCCTCAGAGGTTGTGTGCTTTTTCTGTTCGATATTTTAACATCGACGGTAGAGAAGAAAATTGTTATTTATTACTTTTATGGCAAATCATTCCTTTGTATTGACGACATACAAATTTCGGGATTCAGTCTCACCTAAGTTCCGTCGAACTTCTCACAGTAAATAAAAAAAGTTGTTGATCACAAAGCGCTTCACGGATTACTAAGTGTCAAATGTATATATAAAATGTGACTTTGCTAGTATTAATTGTATATAATATGGTATAATACAATACTATATACATATCAATATTCTAAAATCCAAAACAAATTTATTTAAACTTTGCTTGTTCTTTTGTGTTGGTAACTTTTGTTGATTTGATAGAGCCGCCTGACTCTTAAATGAGTTCGCGGTATGACCATTCCTAGTTTAACCTGTTAAATGGATTGAGTGAAGCTCAGGGATGAGCTCCAAGTGAAAAATTGGACCTGGTGCCGGGTGACTATTTCTTCAGAGTCGGAAATGGTGTGACCATTAAAATTACCATGCCGTTATTACTACGGAAAGTTTATTTGTGTGCTATGGCTGTTCACTTGGCATTTTCAGCCGCGCCTGGTGATGTTAAGTGTCAAGGCATGTAAATTTTCAAGCTTTTGAGTGTCTTACCAGGCACTCATAGTTCGGCATCATTAGACAATTTAAGTTTTTTGCTTCACAATCCACCTAAGAATTGCATGAATGAGCACACATTTACACTTGTATGTATATACGCATAAATACATCAAATGGCAGAAAGCAAAAGCTAATGCATCTGAGAGAAATAGGAGAGAAATCGGAAGAGCCAACGTTATAGAAAGATGTTCCGGAATGATGGATTCACTATAATTCTATGTTCGATTTCTTTAAGTTTAAGTTTGTTGGTGCTTAGTATAAGATTTATTAGAAGTTATCTTCCAATATTTTAATTTTTTTATTCATTTTATTTTTTATTTTTTTTTTCTATGATTGATCGAACTTGCAAAATTTTTAGATTTATAATAATTTCAGTAAATTATATATATGTTATTGAGAAAAAACTGATTATCCGATTATAAATCCAAGACAACAAAAAACTTGTAAATCTTCAAGAATACGCAGTGCTTAGAACAAATGCAGCTGAAGGTCTACCAACCTGATAAAAACAAGTTGGTATAAAAAAATAGGTTTTCAAAAATTGTTTTTGATTAACAGCACTTCCTGAAAGTAAAAAAGCATTTTCATTTGCAGTTAGTAATATTTTTCAGAGATAGGAATGGCTTTATAAAAAGCTAGCTTACTGACGGCAGTGGTTGGCTTTTGGAAATGGCCAGAGCTAAGGTATACTCATTGGAAACCAACACACTGTTATCAAATATTTCATCCAGCGTCCTAATGTAAGGAGTAATATATAAGAGCACTTATAAATTTTTTACTATATTCAAAAAGTTTTCAACTTGTACCGAGTCCTTGTGCCAGATAAATTTAATAGTCCTTTTGTATCCAGCTGCGTTCATACCTTAAACCAAAAAAAATTGTCTATTTTATTGTTTGACAACATTCACACTTGAACAATCACAATAGTTAAACTGGTATAAAATTTGTTAGGTAAACTTATACCAGCTTAGTGTGGTATAGACGTATTGTCTTGAGCTTAATTCAACAGGGTAACTTTGGCGTTGTTTCCACGTAAAGATTCATAAGCTAGGATTGTTTTTATAATTGAAAGTCTAAGTGAAATTCAAGTGGAATAAAAGTTTATACCAAAACCTACTCTAGTGTATATGTTATTATATATATAATTTGCGCTTTGTATGTAATAAGTTTTAGAATATAAATAAAACCTGATAATGGAAATAATACTTAACATATTCCAGTTCAATATTTATTATATTTAAATTTAACTGTTAATCATATCTAAAGAAGTAATTTTTGATGACATTTTTATGTTTCCCTTGCGAACTTCATTTACAAGTTAGTCACAAGTTAGAACCCATTAATTTTAATGCTTTGTCCTTTCCCGCTATTCGGGTAGCTGGTAAAAAGTAAATTCAAAAGCCCATTCAAGTTGCGATGGTGCGACCACAGTGCATGGAAAGATCTGCATCTATGTCACCTCTCCTGTGACAGTTTCCCTAAAACCCCTCGTATTTAAAATTATACATCTTAAATTAAAACTGTCTAGTTTCAAGATAATAAGAGAAATATCTGAAACAGTTGCATGCAAAACCGGGCATACTTACTATATCTATATATAATATAGGTACGTGCACAGCAAATCCGAAAGACAAACTAAGTATATAATGCTTGCATTTTTGTTGGTTTGTGAGACAAAAACTCACAGGTAGCCAAGCAATTTTTCTACTACAAATGAGAGGAAAACATGCATACCACATCTGCATACTCGTATACCCTGCAAGAAGACGGTATATCAGTTTGCAAAAATTCTGGTTACACACCACAATGAAATTACACCATTTGGTTATTTGTATGACAGTTCACAGTTCTGCTCTGTTGAAGTAAGCAAAGTTATGCTCATCGCTTATTCATCGCAAAAGACGAGTGGTAAGAGGTTATCAGTGTGCGAGAGTCGCTGCAGGCAAACTCATTTTTATTTCTCTCGAAACAGAAATTCGGCGGGCTTGAAATTCTTTGCCGAAGTGCGATTGCCATCAGAAAAAGTAATTTTCTCGAATTTTGGTTGTTAGTTGAACTAAGACTCGAACCCTGCACTTCAGAATGGTAGTACGCAATGCTATTCAATTTTTATTTTCTTGCAATTGAACAAGCTGTAAAAGCAATAATAAAAAATGTGTTATTGTTGCTGTTGTTGTTGTAGTGGAAACTCGAACTATGTATGGTCGGAGCTTTTTTTGTAAACTACAAAAATACTAGTATAATTTTACTCTTTGGCGTACTAGTATATTTTTACTAGTTCAATTCTTGCTTACAACCAACTAGTATGATTTCGTCTTCAAAATACTAGCATTTAACTAGAATTTTTGCGTACCAGTCTACCCTTTTCCAGTAGGGGTTTGTGAATATTCGTACATACACACACATACGTATATACTTATGTTTATGTACTGGAGTTTCATGCGATTAAATTTGTTTTAGACAATATATGAGTATATACATAAAAATGTTTATATAGCATAATAGTTATATGTATATAGTTAAAAGTAAATATATATGCACAAATTGCTTTTCAACCACAATATCATGAAACCTGTATTTGGCTTTGTGCTCTACACGCACAACTCCGGAGACTGGATTTCCGGCTGGTTGAGTTAATGCATTTGATGGCGCTGCACACAAATATCCATCTATGTATGTATATGAATATAATGCATATATGTGTATTTCGTGTGCATTTTCTAAAGTAATTGCCAGCATACTGCATGTCCTAATAAACTAAGCCATAAAGCAAAAGAGATTTTGAGCAATGAATTATATATGAGATTTCCGGAGAATTAGCAAATCTATTAAATGAAATCTTATTAATATATGGTTGTATTATTTTAATTAAGAATTTTTATATGTAAATGAAAAAAAATTGAAATTTATAATAATTATTTACATTTTAAGGAAAGGTATTCTTTATAATTTCTTTAATTATATGTTGAAAATATTTTTAATATGATTTTTATTTATCTTTCTTTTCAGCAAAACTTCAGAAAAAATTCTTTTACCATCATTAAATCTCTGATAGGTAAGATCTGTTCTCAAATGTATATATCAAATCAATTACAGGGAGGCAGTATTTGTTGGTAAGAGATATTGGTTCATCTTTCAAAAGCAGTAAGTCAAATAAGATCAAGAAACTACAGAAAACATATGAAATATTTTTCGAGAAGAAGTTTTCAAAAATTTGAAAACGAACTTAAGTATTTTGAAAAGTGGTTAATGTAATGACTAATGTTTTTCAAAAATATCTCGTCGCTGTATTTAATAGTCAATTACAACAACAAAATGAATTCCGTAAAAAATCACAGCACACTTATTGTGTAAAATCTCAAAAGAAAATTTTACCTAGAAACACATAGAGCACTGCTTCATGGCACCTAAAGCGTGCAAGCGCCGCTGTAACGAATTGAAAACATGAACAAGAACAAACATTTTTCTAAAAGCCGGGTTCTAAATGAGTAGGGCAAGTCTTAATTTTTTGTTTCTAAATCGATTAGGTACCCAGTCCAAAGTGCTATCAACCAAAATAACCAAGACAAAATGTCACAATAAAAGTCAAAAAGTTGGAGATCTCGATTAATGAAGTAACCGAAACAAAACTCACAGGAAATTATCGTTCACATTCGCTTTTACTATAATATTTGAAAAGTAATACGCAAAATGTATGTTCTGATGCAGCTATAGGCAGGCTTCTTAAATTGAAGGCTCGAAAGTGATTGTGGCTTCTTTTGAAAAATCAAAAAGTGAGTTGAAAATGGCAACTTCGGTACCAGGGGATGATGGCGGCTTAATATATCTATTGATTCATCACAAGCGCAGTTGTAATATTAATTTAATATATACGGTTGTTGCTCTTCATTCAATGCTTCATATTATACAGTGATCGGATTAAGTTAAAATATGCGCTGTTTTGTTCGATGATCTGTTTCCATCTAGATGGCAACTTCATAATACCTTCCTCGCAGAAGCCCCCATTCTTATTTGCGAAGAATTCGGACAGCCATTTTTCACAAGCCTCTTTTGAGTTCAACTTCACAACACCAAGGGCATTCGCCATGGACTGGAACAGGTGGTAATCACTTGGCGCTACGTCCAGGCTATATGGTGGATGCGATAAAACCTCCCATCCGAGCTCCCGTAGCTTCTGACGAGTCATCAACGAAGTGTGTGGTCTGGCGTTGTCCTGTTGGCCAATTCTGGACGTTTCTGGCCGATCGCCTGCTTCAAGCGGTCCAGTTGTGAGCAGCTCATAGTGGATGATTCCCTTCCAATCCCACCAAATACACAGCAAAACCTTCCTGGCCGTCAATCCCGGCTTGGCCACTGTTTGGGACGATACACCGGCCTTCGACCACGACCGTTTTCGCTTGATATTGCCGTATGTGATCCATTTTTCATCGCCAGTCACCATCCGCTTTAAGAATGTGTCGTGTTCGTTCCATTTCAGCAGCACATCGCAGGCGTTGATTTGGTCCAGAAGGTTTTTTTGCGTCAAATTATGCGGCACCCAAACATCAAACTTTTTTTTTGTATCCAGCCATCTGCAGATGGTTCAGAATGGTTTGGTGACTAACTCTCATCTCCTGGGCGATGTCACGAGATGCCATATGCCGGTCTAACTCGATGTATTCCATGATTTGTCGTCACCGGTCTTCCGCCGGCTGGCTTATCCATGGTGCCGTTTTCACCGGCTCTGAATCGTCGAAACCATTCCTCCGCGGTTCGAAATGATAGAGTACCATCCCCCAAAACACCATTAATCTCACGGAACGTTTCTCTAGCGGATTTGCCTTTGACGAAGGAAAACTTTAAAATAGCGCGAATTTCGGCGTTAGTGAACTCCATGTTTACACGTCTATAACTGTTGAACACAATATCCAAACTAATCATGCATAGCGTTGTTTTGTAGCTTATGTCAAGACCTTTTAAATTATGTATAGTGTTGCCAGATACGATAAGACAGCGCTTTGTACATAGCGGAAGGGATATTTGACAACCTAATATATTAAGTCCAGTAAGAGGCAATCTAATATTTTTTGCACTAATGAGCTTTAATAATGTGTACCTCGCGTTCTATAAGTACGATTCGATTACGCAAGATGGCTGAAGATATTTGTACTAGCGAAGGTTAGAAAAATGTTTAAAGACATGGACACCAGAAAAGACATAGTGCACTATATTCCAAAATTTTTCTTTCATACAGCTGAAAATGTGAATAGTCTTTGTGGTCCTGTTTCTTCAACTGCTTTAATAGCCAAAATACTAAATGAACATTTTACCTACTCCTAAATACTCTCTCTTTTTTACTCCAAAAGTTTAGACAACATCTCTTTTGAGAAAGCGAAACAATTTCAAAGACTTATTGTTTACATTAGTACTTTCATTCCACGGAACTTCGATATTAGACTTAAAAATTCATCAATATATTACATCGACTAATTTACTACATTTTGATTGCGTTACATGATGTAGATTGCGAGACATTAAATGTCATTGCAAAATTACCAACATACAGCGCACCTGGCAATGAGTCCTTACAGACTTTCGATTAATTTTTCATTTGTCAATGTCAACAAACGAAGAGTAGCTGCAATTATTGCTGGGCCATTAAGTTTCGTGCAGCTGTAGCCTTCAACTGAATACCGATACTAGCTGGTGGTGGTGCTGCTGCAGCGCATGATATTTGATGGTCATCATTGGTGCCATGTAACTGTCTTGTCGTGTATGGAAATAACAATTCGGCTCGGTCAATAGCGACGGTTTTTATATCACAGACAATTCTTATACTTGCTGTATTGAAAGTCGGTCTGATAGATTTAAGTGTGTCTTGATGTATTTCCAATCAAAAGTATATTTGACTTACTTTTTAAAGTTACGGTATAAAAATTCTTTGCGAAAACAATAAATTTTTCGTATTTGTAATCATTGCCTGAGGGCCGACAATAACAAATGTTTTTTGAATATAAGTATTTCTGTACGCAGATCTGGTCTGAGCAGAGTCCATGATCTTCTGCTCTTCGTGTATTGGCTGCAATAATTTATATTTCTTATGGCAGGTTAAAAAATTAAATAAAACAGCTCGCTTGATAAATAAAAAATACTGAAATTAAGCCTTTTTCAAGGTGTATTTATTAAATTTTGCGGTTTATTATTTATTCACTTGGACTCCTTGCAGCGATCGAAACAAATGATAATCAGAAGGTGCAATGTCGGGTGAATATGGGGGAAACAAATGATAATCAGAAGGTGCAATGTCGGGTGAATATGGGGGATGCGGCATGATTTCCCAATTCATCTAAATAACTCCTTTGCGCTTGGCCAAAATCGGACGTTTTTCATCACTTGCTTTATCCAGTTCGACCAGTTGCTGACAATACTTGTTGGCAGTGATCGTTTCTCCAGCTGGCAAGAGCTCAAAATAGATCACGCCTCGGATATCCCACCAAATGCACAGCAGTACCTTCATCGGATGCAATCCACCTTTCGACAACGGTTCCGCCCATTCGTGTGCCTGTTTGCATGTTCTTTTGCGTTGAACATTGTTGTACAGGATCCATTTTTCATCACCAGTCACGAGCCGATCCAAAAAATCTTTGTTTTTGATCCGTCGAAGCAAAAAAATTGCTGTTGACATACGGTTCACTTTGTTTTTTTTTCACTCAAATGATGTGGCACCCATGTATCGAGCTTCAAAGTGTACCCAACCTTTTTTAAACGACGAAACGCAGTTGATTTGTTGACGTTCAATTCACTGGCAACCTCTTCCGTCGAAATACGTGAGTCCACTGCGAGGTCGATCTTCGAGGTTAAAATCTCCAGAACGAAATATCGCGAACCATTTCTTTACTGTGCTGGAGCACGGTCCAAATAAACTTCGCGAATATCTTTAGTTGCAGCGCCTACTGTTTTTCCTTTACGAAATTCGTATAACAAAATACGACGTATGTGATGTTTTTCGTCGTCCATCTTCCATGTGTCTTTTCACTAAGCAACTCAAATCAAAATGAAGTTATTTTATGCTTGAATTACAGTTCGGACTGTCACCTTTCCAACGATGTATAATATGTATATATTTCTTTCACGAGCGCCACTCTCAAACGATTCGAACGGCATCCAGCGGAATCGGGCACGAACTTATGCACTCATCCAATACATATCACAAACTTTTAACTGCATCCTTATTTTTTGTAAATAAAAAAGTTAGACTCATTGAAAATTTTGTTATCAATACTTTTTATTAATTAATTAATTTAAATTCAAAGAAATCAGAATTTTTTCAGACACTGATAAGAAAAATTATTCCGAGAAATAAAAAGTCGACTGAAAACCTGTAAAATGGAAAAAAAATCTTCATGAACGAATTATCAAAAGTATGAATTTTCTTCGTAAAATAATAAGTGCAAAAGGATTAAAAAGGAGTATAAAAATTCAATTTGCTAATTTCAGAAAATAATAATAAAAATTTCGCTCGAATTTTCAAGGTAAAATATTAATAAATTCATCTCAATCGAGTGGAAATTTGTCACGTCTTCTCTTTGTAAATCAACCAGAAGAATGAGTCTTTTTTCTATATAAAAACCCCTATACAAGAATATTAGGCAAATAAATATTTAAAAGTAATATAAAGCAATAGAATGCAACACACATGCAAGGTAACCACGTATTTATATATTTATAAATTTTTGCCATATTTTTTTTTTCCTTAACCTCAAAGGTATTTTTCATGCGACGCTGTTGAAGGACAAATGTATGTAAATTACTTGTCCTCTTTGTTGTAATGTTGGCATATGAGTAAAAATAAGTATGTGCAGGAAATTTCTTATTTATATATGTATATTTATATGAATATTCGAATAGCAATTTGTCTAAATTTTTGCGGGAAAATGTGCACATAAAGCCAAAGCAGTCTTGAATATTTATGCCAAGGGTAGGACATTTCATACCACACCAGTACATACACCTAAACATTTCGCAACCATGACTTATTTGCTCTTTTTTATACTCGTGTGTGTGCCTGGGTGCAGT